CCTATCTCGCCAATCCAGCCCATAACAACTACAAAGGAACAGTCGGCCGCGCAAAGACAATCAAAAGCGGCGAAAAAGTCTTTATTTCCAAGTCAAACTGTTGAAGGTACCACAGTGCTTCTTGTAACCCCGATTTCAACTCCACTGTTGCCTCCTTTATCGTCTCAACTGCCCACTGTAGCGTTGAGTTCTGAGACTTCGATCGCCGCCCCGATCCCACACGATCCACGTCACCATGCTGTTATAAGCCCGCCAACTCAAGATAATACTGCAACTGCTTCCCGTAAAAATAAAGAAACCGCAAATAATCAGGATCAGGAACCGTCTGTCGAGGTAAGTTCGTATTTCTACTTGATTCGTTTTTGACTTAACGTTTCATAAGAGACGATTGGAAGTGTACTTAAATACTCCAATAAAATTAATTATATTTTTATGACCTTATTATTGTTCACCTATATAAGCATAACATGATAGTCAGTAAAAATTAACAGTTAGCATTCTTTCAACATGAAGGTACGTCTCAACTATCCTGGGTGTGATAAAAACTACAACAATATATTGAAAGAAGACCTTGRGCCTCTTGGGAAAGCACTTGCAAGAAAAGTTTCTTATGATAAGATTGCAACAGCCATTTTCAGGTCACAAAAGTTGAAATACTKGGTCATCAAGAAAATCCTCACTAATGTAACAAAGGAGTGCATTGGACTGTGCTCATTAAAGGAACCATCTATATTGAGGTCTAAAGAGCCAGATGAAATGAAGAACTTTACTTTGTCCAAAGTAAATGACGAGTTCAAAACACGAGCACCATTGTTCTACTCCTTCCTTCTTAGCTGTGCCACATCAGGCAATAAAGATGAGCCCATGCCTAGTGTTGCTGTAGCAGGATCTGTCTTATTGAGGCAACGAAATGTTTTTATGAATGCTACTCAATCATTAATATCTTTGATGGTAAAGCAAAATGGTGTTCAGGTAGGGGGAATTACAGTATCATTTCAGATTGGATTCATTTTTGTATATTGTAAAAAGGTTTATTGTTTATTAATAATGACTATTATTATTCTATCAGTTGTGTTTATCTATTGTTCTTCTTCCCAGTTTTTAAATCCAAAATGTCATATTTTTGAGGTATGAATTCTCACTGTGTGTGTAATAATTATTAATAATGACTTCTATGTTGTATTATTTCAGAAACTTCTCAACCGCTTCAACTCAATGAAGCTATCACTATCACCAAAATCTACATTGAAGAGATTGGATACCTATGGGTTAAAGTTTGAAGAAGAAGTTAACAAAATAAAAGGCAAAACGTCTGTAAATCAGCCTAGCACAACAACAGATATACATGCTTCAGCTTCCAGAAGTGAGGAAGTTCCAGACTGCCACAACAGCTACAAGATTGTTCTTGATAATATTGACCTTAAGATTCTTGCAAGAGATATGACATCTGAAAGACAAAACAAGGACATACACTGGTGTAACCACATGGCAGTAAAAAATAGAGTGGTAGATCAACAAAATAACAAGATTCAGACCGACCTTCTGGAACTTGACAATTCCAAGATTCTACCTGAAGCAAGGGAMAACCAACTACTAAGAGGAGATTATATACAACTTGTTGCTCGCATACTTGTTGAACACCTTCCTTGCTTTAAATTCTTAGAAAAAGTGTGTCCTAAACACATCCCACACCACTACAGCAAGGAAATGGCAGAAAAATCAGAAA